CCACTCACCTCAGCCTCCCAAAGGCGCAGGATTATAGGCTGAGCCACCGAGCCCGGCTTCGATATAGGATTTTAAACAAGGGTGATATGACCCCTATTTTAAAGTTTTCTCCACAATGTACTCTTACCTGAATCAAAAATCTATAGAGGAAACTAGAGCCCCCTCTGCACTGCTGCACCCTGCCCCTGGAGGGCAGCATTCAAACTACTGCCCTGCCCCTGGTGGCTAGCAGGCAGCTGCTTCCAAGCCTCTGGGATGGAGACAAAGGAGGAGGACCAGCTGCCCTTGGGCCCCGGGTCCCTACCTTCTCCCCATGTGGTTTATCAGCCTCCATCACGTGGAAAGAACCTGCCTTTTTTCCCAGGCTACTATCAATTCTTCAGCCCTGCTGACCTTCCTGGGGACGGAGGAGGCCTAGCCGGTGCTTTGTTGGCCTTTCCCTGGGTCTGGGGAAGTTGAGCTTCCCATGAGCTAGGTGGGCGGAGGAGAGGCTGGAAGGCTGGCTTGACGGGGTCTCCTCAACTCGAGCTCCGCAGGGGCCCTCCAGGTTTGTCCTCTGACTTTGCCACCAGCGCCCCTCGGCCCCTGCTGACAGTTCCACATGCACTTAGAATTGTGGTGATGCACACAGATCACAGCCTGAAGCAATCAGGGGAGGCATGGGGGATGCAGCAGAGGTTGGTCATGGGCCTTCCCCTGTGGGTATGGGCACAGGTGACTGCCTGGCTTCCTTCTTGGTTGTCCTTCAAAACATGATAATGTCGCACCTATCCAAGGAGGTGTCTAGTTGGCAGCACATTAAAGAAAGGCACAGACTTGCCAGATGCGGTGGCTCATGCCTATAATCACAGCACTTTGGGAAGCCAAGACAGGGAGAATTACTTGAGGCCAAGATTCCAGGCCATCCTGAGCAGCATAGAGAGATTTCATCTCTACAAAAAATAAAATTAATTTGGTGTAGCAGCGCATGCCTGTAGTCCCAGCTACTCAGGAGGCTGAGGTGGGAGGATCTCCTGAGCCCAGGAGGTCGAGGTTGTGGTGAGCCATGATTGTGCCACTGTACTCCAGCCTGGTTGACAGAATGAGACCCTGACTCAAAAAAAAAAAAAAAAAGGCACAGACTTGATCCTGTCTTTTAAATTTTATTTCCCAGTGTGAAAATCGTAAAAGGCAGTAGTCACCTAAATGAAACTTCTGATGTCTAGAACATGCCGTAACATGTACTTCAAAATAATGTAGTGAGTCAGGAGTGGTCCAGCAGAGACACAGTGAGCCCTGTGATCACTGCTGGAGCTGATGACAGGCTTATGCTCTTTGCACTGGTCTCTCTGCTTTTGTATGAGTTTGATATTCCTGACATCCAGCCTTAAAGAGGTAACCACTACGAGTATTTTGGGAAACATTCCCTAAGTGTGTTCTGTGCCAGCACACAGAGATAGTTCTAGAACCCCTGCTGTGTGTGTGTGTGTGTGTGTGTGTGTGTGTGTGTGTGTGTGTGTGTCTTTTTTAAAAGAGCAATTTTAGAGTCACAAAAAAGTAAGAGAAAAGTACAGCAATGTCCCCCTGCCCCACCATGCACAGCCCTCTTGTCATCAACATCCCCACCAGTGGGTGCATTTGTTACTATGTGTGAACCCACATTGCCATGTCATGATCACCTAATATCCATAGTAGGCCTCAGTGTTCCTTCTTGGTGTAGGACATCCTATGAGTTTGGACAAACGTCCCTTGCCTTCCGCCTCTGTACTGTATGACAATGCCATTTGGTAATATCCCTTGCTCATTCACCTACATGTCGAGACTGTTGAGATGCGTCTGAGTCAGCGCCATGCTCTGGAGGGTGACAGGACAGGCATGTAACAGGACCTATAGCCAACCCCCGGGCGGGAGTCTAAGGTCCTCATGACAAGCTCTATCTGGGCAAGTTTCCTCGTCCTGTGGCCTCAGTTGCTGTATCCGCAAATGGTTCCTCCTTTGTAGGTCGATTTGAGGGTTAAATAAGTGAATCGTATCAAAGTAAACATGAGGGCAGCTCCTGTCACTGTGTGACAGCTGATCGTGTTCTCATGTACGGCTGTGCTTTAACTGGTCTCACCATTCCTGGCTGGTGTACATTGAGACTGTCCAGTTTTTCCCTAGCTGGACAGTGCTGTGCATGACTCAGTGCAGTTGGGAGGCCACCAGCCTCCTGACAGGTGGCTTTCCCTGCACTGCAGCCTCTGGGACCTTTCAGCCTTTCCCTAGCTTCAGGGCCACAGCCCCGGGGCTTCTCTGAGCCACTGTCAGCAGTCGCAGCCGCGTCTCCTCAGTTGTCAGCCTGAGAACCCAGCTTCCCCAGCAGCCAGCTCTGAGAGCCCCTCCCTAACCTGGATTTCCAGGGAGAAAACACACACATGGGCCACTGGCATTGCCAGCCTGTACCTGGCATCAGCCTCAGTGCTCCGGTTCTCACCAGCACCTTCTGCCCCCAGGGAAGGCTACAACAACCCCACCATCTCAGGGGAGAACTTGATCGGCTTGAGTAGGGCCCGGCGCCCCCACAACGCCATCTTTGTCAACTTCGAGGATGATGAGGTGCCCATGCGGCCGCTGGAGGCTGCAGTCCAGACGTGGAAGAGAGTGTGCACCAACCCCATAGACCAGAAAGTGGAGGAGGAGCTGAAGAAGGTGAGTCCTGTGTCTGGGTCCAGCCCTACCAGCACCAGCCTCTGTTGACCGCCTCGTGTTTACCCAGCTGCTCCCCATCCCTGGCCGTGGGGCCGGCTCTACTTACTTTGAACAACTCATGCGTTAGGGCCAGGTGCAATGGCTCACTTCTGTAGTCCCAGCACTACAGAAGCCGAGATGAAAGAATCTCCTAAGGTCAGGAGTTTAGACCAGTCTGGACAACACAGCAAGACTCCCATCTTTATAAAAATTAACAAAATTATTAGCTGGTTGTGGTAGCATGTGCTAGTAGTCCCAGCTACTCTGGAGGCTGAGGCAAGAGGATCTCTTGAGCCTAGGAGTTTGAGATCAGCCCAGACAACATATCAAGACCCTATCTCTATAAGAGAAAAATTAGCCAGGTGTGGTGGTGCATGCCTGTAGTCCCAGCTACTTGGGAGGCTGAGGCAGAAGGATGGCTTGAGCCCAGGAGTTCAAGATTACAGTGAGCTGTGATTGTGCCACTGCACTACAGCCTGGGCAACAGAGTGAGACCCTGTATCTAAAAAACAAACAAAAACTTACTCATTTGTACATGGGAATTTTTCACTTCCAGATGTCAACATAAACCCTATATTCCTAAGTTTGGAAGTGTTTATAATTTGTAAGAGTCTCCTTTGGGGGGATGGAAAACAGGTGCATTGTTCGAATGTGACTTAATCATGGAGCTCTGGAATCCACTGAGCATTTTTTTTATCGATTCACTCTTTGCACAAAACAAATGGAGCCCCTGCTGTGTGTCAGGCCCTGGTGCTTTCTTTCTGGGTAGAGATGGAGCCATGCTACCAGGTGTCCTGCCTGCCCGCTGATTTCACAGGTGCTGTGGAGACTGAGGCTGGGGCTATGGCAGTTGTGTCCCCACAGGTATGAGCAGCAGGTTCATAGCAAGGCCACATCGCTGTTGGCTGGGCTCGGGCTCGTCCCTCACTCACTGCCCCCATGGCGGTTTCTTGCTGAAGGAGGCTGTGGATAAACCATGTGTGGTAGCTCACGCCTGGTAATCCCAGCACAGTTGGGAGGCTGAGGCGAGAGGATTGCCTGAGCTCGGGGGTTCGAGACTAGCCCAGACCTCGTCTCTACAATAAACCAACAAATTAGCTGGGCATGGTGATGCACACCAGTAGTTCCAGCTACTTGGAAGGCTAAAGTAGAAGGTGCCTGAGCCCAGCAGGTCGAGGCTATGGTGGCTGTGATCTTGCCACTGCCTGCCAGCCTGGGTGACAGAGTGAGACTCTGACTCAAAAAAAAGAGGCTGTGTATAGCTTGTGGAATTTCTACTAGTCACTGGGGGGCACTCTGTGTGACTCCCATGGGCACAGTCAAGACTCCTAAACTGGCTAGCTAGGTCCTTTGAGTCCTGGGCCTCCACACTACGGCCACATGGGCCTTCTGCAGTCTTCCCTGGTCCAGGCCATCCTCTTCAGCCTTGATGGTGTCCCACCTCGGGCACCCATGCTCCAGCACATCCCCCCTCAGCCCTGCTCCCCGCTGCACTGTGAGCTGTGTGAGGGCAGTAACCATGTTCCTTGTAGTCATTTCAGGGCCCCCGGGCCCCATGACTGGCTCGCACATGCTGGAGAGTGGTCCAGGCTGCCTGGAGGGAATGAATGCCACGGGGCCTGGGCTGGGCCCTGCTTGCCCAGCCCCTGCCCTCCACTGACTCCACTCCAGAAGGCTCACTGGGGCCCAGATCGTGCTGGGTCGTCCGCACAGGAGGTACGAGCTGCAGGTGCTCCTCTCAGCCTCTGCCCTTGGCCTCCCCAGCTTTTCGACATCCGTCCCATCTGGTCCCGGAACGCAGTCAAGGCCAACATCAGCGTCCACCCAGACAAGCTCAAGGTCTTGCTCCCCTTCATGGCCTACTACATGGTAAGCCTCGGCCGCCTGCCCCTCGGTGCCCACAAGGGTGGTCCTTGGTCCCTGTTGCCATGTCTTAGAGCCACAGCAAGAGCAGGAGGCCCCCATCCTACGTGCCCCCCACCTTCCTGTCCCCTAATCTTAGCACCATCCTCCCATCCTGGCCTCCTCCTGTCCTGGCACCCTTAGGTGGCTGGAAAGGTGTCCAGCTCCTAATAACATATTTGGCCATGTTTGGCTGATTTTAGGATGAAGGAATAATTACCTGACTTGTATGTAAAAGGATCGTGCACTGCAGGATGACCTTGTAGTGAGAACTTCCTAAGGAAAGGCACTGGGAAAGCACTGTGTTTACATCAGATGCTTTATTTCTAGAGGTGGCAGCAGGAGCCTCCTTTTATCTCTGAGGAAAAGCCCAGGCCCCAAGAGGTGACCTGATGTGTCACGTCCTCTAGCCACAAGTGACAGAGCCACCTGGGGAACCCAGCCTGCCCGGCTGCCGAGCCCAGCCCCGACCACAGGGGCCCTGCCTCAACTCCCCACCTGTGCCCGGTGGGGCAGGTCTACCTTTGATTCAGACGGGGAGGGGGATAGAGATGGGTGTCATTACTGAGGTTCCCAAAGGTGCCAGTAGGAAGGGAGTCCATCTGCTGAGGGGCCACGCCAAGCATCTGGGGAGGCCGGTGTGAGCAGTGACCAGGAGGGTTGACCATGAGTGACGCGCAAGCTCTCCTGGCCTGGTGGACTCCAGGCTCTAGAAAGCCGCCCCATCACTTGGTTTCAGCTTTTTAGACTTGAGTATTTCAGAAGTACCATTTGGGGGACGGAAAACGTCCCATCACTCGAACTCTAGTAGTACCAGATGCTTAGTATGTGCCAGTCACCACGGCCAAGGCCATGTGGACATTGCCTCACATAATCCTCCAGAACCATGGGAAAGGGTGCTCCCGTCACCTCTGTCTGACAGGAAGCCCAGATGGAAAGCCCATCTGTCCATGGTGACAGAACCTACACGTGGCAGAACTGATGGGGCGTCCCAGCTCGGGCTGTTCTGCCTCATTGTAGAGCTCTGCCCTGTCCGGGGACCTGGCCCTCGACCCACTTCACACCCCACCTTTCCTGTCTCCAGATAACAGGCCCATGGCGCAGCCTGTGGATTCGCTTTGGGTACGATCCCCGGAAAAACCCAGATGCCAAGATCTATCAAGTCCTTGATTTCCGAATCCGTTGTGGAATGAAACATGGTAAAAAAACTCCTAAGAATGGTGCTTTCTATATCTCTTGGCTTCTGGCATTCTTTTTTGTAATAAGAATCTACTCATGTGGTGAGAATTAAGTCTCCCCGCTTTGGTAAGAATCTGTTGGACACAGCATAGCATAGAAACGAAGGACCCAGCTCTGTCCAGGCTCCACCATTGACCCTGTGGTTTCTGACCCACAGTCATTCATTCAGTTACTCCGTAGTACCCTGTGGTCCTGGGACGTGAACCAAGCGCTAGAAAGTGTCCAGGCCCAGGATTGCAGTAAGCTCCACTCGTGAGCATCACCCCCCACCCATGTGGGAAGTGCTGGGATGCACAGGCGACCTTACTTCAGTGGTCTGTGTGACAGCCTGAGATTGCCTTTCTCAGCAGCTGGCCCCATGGGCCCAGGTCCAGTCTCCAATGTGAAACCAGTGCTGTGTGCATACGGGCCCTGTGCCTGCCCTGCCAATACGCCACCCTCACTCGCAGGTTACGCCCCCAGTGACCTGCCTGTGAAAGCAAAGCGCAGCACCTACAACTACAGCCTCCCCATCACTGTCAAGAAGACGCGTAAGTGTTCCAGGCTCGTCCTGTGAATCAGGGGTGATGTGCCCTTAACACCAAGGCTAGGGAAGGTAGGGTGTCTGGACAGTAGTGGGAGGTGTGCTTCCCGGGCACTGCTGGCCATTCCTTCCCAAGGAGGGCAGGCAGGCAGGCAGGCGGGATGGGGAGTAGGGAGAGACACCTTCCTTCCCATCCCTGTATGCCCAAGTACTGCCGGTGTCCCCATACAGCCAGCCAGCTGGCCGCCATGCACGACCTGAAGCAGGGCCTGGGCCCGTCGGGGCCACCTGGTGTTCGGAAGCCAGCCTCCAACAAGTACAAGCTCAAGGTGGGTGTCCCGGGGACCCAGGAGAGAGTGGCTCTGCCTGGTGAGGGTGGAGATGAGGCCCCTTCCCTCGGGGCCAGGCACTCATGGGCCACAGCCAGAGGGACTTTGGTTGAGGCAGCTCTGCCTATCCAGTGCCTTTGCGCCACTTGAGCCTTTGGAACAGCCTCCAAACGTGACAGGTGAGGACTCAGGTGAGGCCCACTTGGGGCCATAGGGGTTGATCTAGGCAAAAAGGCTGTGACGGTTCTCAGGAAGGGAAATATGACACCAGCAACCATGTGTGGCTATTTTTCTGTGAGCCCTTTGAGAGCCTGCGCCCCACTGAGCCATGTGGCTGCCCCCAGAATGATCAGGGAGCCAGTGCAGGCCACCTTGGTGGCAGCTGTGGCAGCATGGGTGCTGAGACAGGCAGGAACCTTTACAGACCCATGTGGTCGTTCCTATAGTCATCTGGAAGTAGTTGGCAGTGTCCAATGCCTTTCCACACTTGGGCTCCTGTGAGCCACTCCACAGTCCTGGAGAAGCTGAGCGGGTGTGTTCTCACCTGGAATCACCTCCCTGAGGTAGCAGGTGGCAGAGGGCAAGAGCAGCAGAGATAGGCAGTGTGAGAGAGGCAGCTGTCCCCAGCGTTACAATGCTCTTGGGCCCTGTGCCTGCTACCAGGTTTTCCAGTCCTTAGCTGTCTTCTCAGTGAGGGGCAACCATGTCACAGCCTGAGCAACTGTCCTTCTTCTCAAGGACTCTCATTTGAGGCCGTTATCCCTGCCTCCAAAACCACGTGCCTCGGTAGAGAAAGGAGAAAACAGACAGCCATTAAACCCTGCTTTCCTCCCAGAAAGGATGTCAAGGCAGCACGTAGGAGGACGTAAAATGAGTAGGCGAGGAGCCCAGAGAGCGGAGCCCGCACAAGGCTAATGCCAGCCCCATGCAGGCGGGATTGCAGGTCCTGGTGGCCCTGTGACAGCCCGGCTGCTTCCTCTGTCCTTCCCAAGACCTCCTGGGGAGTCAGAATTGTTTTCTCCACATCTGCTCCCCATCCTGTCTGCCAGCCTTGGCTTGGTGACCAGCCAACGGAGAGACCCCCACGCGAGCCCTCGGTGTGGGGTCTCCAGCACGGCCCGCTCACCTCCCCTGCCTCTCCCTCTTTCACCAGGACTCGGTCTACATCTTCCGGGAAGGGGCCCTGCCGCCCTACCGACAGATGTTCTACCAATTATGCGACTTGAACGTGGAAGAGTACGTACAGGAGGGGCCTTGAGACCCGAGGGAGGGCCATGGGATGCAGGGGCCATGCCAGGAAATCGGGGATCAAAGTATTTCTGCAACTCCCTCACTTCATGTCCGCCTTAATCTCTGAAAGAAGACTCGCCCATCGGCGAGTTTGGTGCTGTTGAAAGCCCTGCTGTGCCCGGGCGGTCCTCGCGGTGGCTGTTCCCTGTGAAAAACTCGGCTCTGAGCTGGGCAGAGGTGGTTCTTGCCAGTGTGTCTTGCCCCTCCTCCTCCACTGCCCAGTGAGCGTCTGTGATGCAGTTCCTAATCCCAGGCTGACCAGATCCCAGAAATCTTTTGTCCACCCCTTCTTAGGGATGTTTACAACATTGCAGAGGAGGGGTGCTGGGGTGGGAGGAGACAAAAGCATGTTGAGTACAGCTTGAAATCTGGTGAAAGCCATGACTCACCAGAAGCATGTGCCTGGGCACGCACCCAGCTTTGTGTGCAGGCTGAGGGGGGCCAGGGGCCCCAGCTGGGCGCACACAATCCTCACGTCTGTCCCTGCTTTCTAGTTCCTCTCTGTAGACTCACTCTGAGGGCTGTTTTCTCAGTACAACTCTGCCTCTGCCAAACTGAACATGGCGCCCATCAACAGAGGCCCCACCCTGGAGTTTGACGGCCCCATCCCTCTCCCCTGCCCCCAGGTTGCAGAAGATCATTCACCGCAATGACGGGGCGGAGAACTCGTGCACAGAACGGGATGGGTGGTGCATCCCCAAGACCAGCGACGAGCTGAGAGACACCATGTCCCTCATGATCAGGCAGACCATCCGCTCCAAGAGGCCTGGTGAGACCCGCAGGGGGTGAAGGCAGGCCTCAGCTACCTGGGCACCCCTCTGGGGGCAAAGCAAGTGTCTGTGAACCCATTCCTGAGACATTGCACCCAGGGGGAACCCTCTTGCCTGAACCCTGGTCCTGGTGGGAGAGCAGTCTTGTGAGCCAGGAGCAGGCTGCCTGGGGCTGGAGCTGTGGCCCTCAGCCCTGGGGCCAGGGCAGGAGGCAGGCCCAGAGGGGACGGCGCAACAGCCTGAGGCTGCCATGCGGGGCCTCTGCCTGCTGCCCTGACACCAGCCTGCATCTTCCAGCCGCAGATGCACACCCTGCCTCTTCTTCCACTGGGGAGCCAAGGCTGTCTCCCTGCTCCGTGTTGCAGTCCTGGCAGGGACAAGGGCTGGTTGGGTACGTGCCAGGCTGTGGGTCTGAGCTGGCAGAGTACCAAGAGGACCTCTCAGGGGATTCCCCCTGGTCTTGGGGTGGGCACTCTTGGACCCAGTCACACCCCATGGATCTGACCAGAGCAAGGGCTCTTAGCCTTGTTTGGGACATGGACTTGGCCCCTTTGGGGAATCTCATCAAGGCTATGAAAGCGTTCCCAGGAAAAATGGCATGTATATTCTCAGGCCCCTGAAGCCACCTGTAGCTTCTCTGGAAAGTGCCAAACCTGCCTGTTCTCTGTTCCTCTGAAGTGCTTGTTAAACTACAGATTCCCAGGCCGCCCCCGCCCCATACTCCCAAGCAGCTTCCCAGAGCTTGAGCCCAGACACCTGTCGTGTAAACAGGCTCCTGAGAACCCACAGCCTTGCTGGGGCTACATGGAAGCCTGCACTGGGACACACATGGCACTGTCTCCTCTGGCCCCAGCTCTCTTCTCCAGCCCAGCCAAGGCCGATGGGGGGAAGGAGCCGCTGACGGATGAGTCCGGGGAAGACGAGGAGGATGATGACGAGGAGGAGGAAGAAGAGGAGGACTTCAAGCCGTCGGACGGCAGCGAGAATGAGATGGAGACGGAGATTCTGGATTACGTGTGACGGGGCCCTGGGCCCAAGGATGGGCCTTCCCAACTGGGCCAGACTGGGTCCTGCCTGACGAGCAGGCCAGAGCGCCCAGTGCCACCCACAGTGGCCAGAGTGGCCCTAGAAGGCCCCTCTGAGGAAAGCTGGGATCCTAGCAAGTGTGCAGCTGACATTGGCCCTGGCTGTGACCCACTGCTCAGTGCTGCCCTCTGGCCCTGTGGGGTTGGGGCCATCCCCAAAGGTTGTGCTGTGGCTCCACACACCCATGAGCCTGCCCACGCTGAGCCACACCCACTGCCTCTTGGGCTGAGACCGGCAGAGCTGGAGGTGGAGATGGTGCAGCGGGGCAGGGTGGGAGTGGTGTGGCTCTTGTGACCCTCCTGGCAGAGATGGCCTGAGGAGCCTGGCCCATGGTCACACGTGGCCAAAGACTGTCCTTGGCTTTGGACCCTCCATTTGGCACAGCTTTGGCAAAGGCCGTCCCAGCTGGAGTTGTCCTTATTAAGTCCCATAGAGTCTTTGTTTCTTAGTTCCAGTTCGAGTGGTGAAGCCACAGGGAAGTTTCCTCTTGTTTTGGGGGCTTGGGCTGTCTTATTGCCTTCATTTGTTCCTTCGTTCATTCAGTGAGATGCTGACAGTGCTGGCAAGTGCCCCGCACCTCCAGTCAGGTGGGGCGAGGGCAGCTAGGAATAACCCCAGGCTTGGACTCGTTTCTTCTCCAAATGGATGCGTTCTTGACAGGTTCATGGGAAACAGGCCCTGCCCGCTCATGGCCTCCCAGTGTGACCCACAGAGGTTCCCGTGTCCCCAAGCCTGCTTCCCTGGAGAGCAGTCAGTGCTGCCTCCTCCCACGCCCTTGGGGCAGCAGCACCATGAACCTGTGGCCACTTAGTGACCCTAAGTCCTTTCAGCAGCTTGGCGTACATTAATTGTAGAGCCACATGCCTCAGGCAAGCCCCATCCTACTGACCAGCCTCTAGGAAGCCCCCTTCTCTTTACAAGATAAGGACCCAGTGACTCCGTCAGCCTGGCAGTGCCAGTCGTAGGGACCCACCTTGTAGGAGAGAGGTAGACCAGGCTCACCTGCTCTGATGACCCTGCTGCCCGTGATGTATCTGGCTGATGTGGCTCCTATGTCTCCTTGAGTCTGTGGCAGACCTCCCCCAACCTCTGTGTGTGTGCCATTCATTTGTTGCAGAAACAAGGTCATTGTCCTATAGAAAGTCCATGTTCGGGATTGGCTGGTTGCTTCCGTGTGGTTTTGAACATGCCTTTCTTTCCCCTGTATTTCCTGTGAACTGGAGGAGACTTGGCCAGGTTCAAGTTCAAGGCCCCTTCCTAAGCTGCATCCAGTCGGGAGGCACAGGATGTCTCCCTTTGGGGGACCAGCTGCTCTTCTTGCTTGGTGGGAAAATAGTGTTTCAAGACCCCAGTTTGGGCACTGGGGCAGTATTTGCTTCTGAGTTTTCATTACTGCTAGGGCTTTTGAATAGACAGAGCCAGAAAATAAGTATTTTTTTGCAAAGAAAAAATAAATTTTGAGTTCATACAGATATTTCCCATTTAAAATGTAAGATTACAGATTTTTGCTTCTCTGATTTTACATTTGTTTCTTTTTCTACCTATGCTGAAAATCTTGATTCCTGCATAATTCCAGCATAATTGCTTATTTTCTTTTTCTTATACATATGCTAGTTTCAAAATAGAAGATATTGGCCAGGTATGGTATCTCATACCTGTAATCCCAGCACTTTGGGAGGCTGAGGCTAGAGGATTGGCTGAGCCCAGGGTTCGAGACCAACCTGGACAACTTGGCGAGACTTCATGTCTACAATAAGTCAAAAAATTAGCCAGGCATGGTGAGGTGCTCCTATAGTTCCAGCTACTCAGGAGGCTGAGGCAGAAGGATCGTCTGAGCCCAGGAGCTAGAGGCTGCAGTGAGCCGTGATCGTGCTACTGTACTCCAGCCTGGGCAACAGAGTGAGACTGACTAAAGCGAAGTAGATAATGTCATAATTCATATACAATTAAAGTGTATGCATTTAAATAACAAGTTATAATGTTATAGTACAGAGTAATACATGATAAGATAATAAGACCACTAAGGGTCATTGAAGCTTGCTTTGTTCTTTCTCCTCGGGTCAGTTCTGCTCTGGATGTCCAGTCGTGCCTTTATGTCACTTAAGCAACTACATTCTCTGTAGTTAGGCCATCTACTGATACACAGTTAGTCCCTACAACATTTTTTCTTTTTTTTTGAGCTGGGGTCTTACTCTGCCGCCCAGGCTGGAATGCAGTGGCACAAGCATGGCTCCACAGCCTCAACCTCCCAGGCTCAGGCAATCCTTCTGCCTCAGCCTCCCAAGTAGCTGGGACTACACGTGCATGTCAGTATACTCGGATAATTTTTATTTGCTTTTGTTTTTTTGTAGAGATGAGGTCTCGCTATATTGCCCAGGCTGGTCTGGAACTTCTGAATTCAAGCAATCCTCCCTCCTCGGCCTCCCAGAGTGCAGGGATTACAGGCATGAGTCACCATTCCAGGATTTTTTTTTTTTTTAATCATGCAGATGTAAAAACCTATCTTCAACTTTTAAATGGATATTTCTCTGCCTGAAAACAAAGTTGAAGTGTTCTTTTGGAGCACCTTGAAAACAATAAGAACTGTAGACACAGTATTTGTTGTGCCAAGAACATCTCATCCAGAGTTTTCCAAAGGGAGGATATTGACGGGGAAACATGAAATTCAGAGAGACAGCCGGGCACTGTGGCTCACGCCTATAATCCCAGCACTTTGGGAGGCAGAGGCAAGAGGATTGCCTGAGCCCAGGGGTTTGAGACCAGCCTGAGCAACTCGGCAAGACCTTGTCTCTACAGTAATTCAAAAAATTAGCCAGGTGTGGTGGTGTGTATCGGTGGTTTCAGCTATTTGGAAGGCTGAAGTGGGAGGATCTCCTGAGCCCAGCAGGTCGAGACTATGGTGACCATGAGTGTGGCACTGCACTCCAGCCGACAACAGAGTGAGACTCAAACTGGGAAAAAAAAAAAAAAAGAGGCTGGGCTCGGTGGCTCAGCCTGTAATCCCAGCGCTTTGGGAGGCCGAGGTGAGTGAATTGCCTGAACCCACGGGCTCAAGACCCGCCCGGGCAACTTGGCGATACCTCATCTCTACAGTAAATCAAAAACTAGCTGGGTGTGGTAGCACGCACCTGTAGTTCCGGTTACTTGGAAGACTCAGGCAGAAGGATCGCCGCAGCCCAGCAGGTTGAGGTTGCAGTGGCCGGGAGCGTACTACTGCACTCCAGTCTGGGCGACAGGGTGAGACTCCAACTCAAAAAAAAAAAAAAGAAAGAAATTCAGAGAGACAAAGACACTGGCCCAGGCCACACAGCTGGATGCGCAGCATCAGGGCTGGACCTGTGTCTGCTTTGTGATTCTGCCTTGTAGGATGTTGACCCAAGTGCATTTGCCCTTCCAGGAAAACTTTTTCCCTTGGAATGTTAAAGTATTTGTCTAGGCTCCATGTGCTACTAGATCAACTTTGGTTTTCTACTTTGTCAGTTATATCTTTCTGAAAGTGATCCTTCCAGCCTAGCCTTTTGGGGAGGTCACAGACTCCTCACATATCCATTGAGAGCCCTGGCATCTTTCCACAGGAAAATGCATACCCACAAATATGTGCACCCAACATCAGTGGCATCCCAGGCCCCCACAGGGTTCAGAACTGCATATCCAGACTTTGGGGTTACATTTTGTCCACCAAATGACCATCACGCTGCTGGTGTGCCACGACCACACCCTGCTCCTGGCGTTGTGGGATTTTCCGTCCCAGCCTTTCATTAGAACAAAGGAGTCAAAAGTGGCCTGGGACAGGAAAAGCAGTAGCTGAGTCTGTTGCCTGGTGGGTCCCTCACAAGCCACACCAGGGAGGAGGGCTGGGCACAAATCAGTCCTGCCCAGGGGTGAATCCACAGGGCTCCAAGGAAGCCCCAAGTTCTCACACGTTGGCTGCATCTTTTGGATCAAATGGATGCAATTCTCTAAAGCAGGATCTGCTAAACACTGGACAAATGAATCCTGGAAACCAACTGGTGATTTTTCTCACTGGATAAACAATATTCATCTCTTAGGTATTTCTGGGAATAGTCATTCTGTCTTCATTCAGTGTCTATTGACCACCTACTCTGTGCAGGACCATGTGGGGTCCCGTGTTAAAATAAGTAAATAGCCACCCCTTATGGTTAAATGTAGGCCTCCATGGTGCGAGAACAATTGGACATCCACATGCAACAAAGTGAGTCTAGACTCAGACCTCATACTCTCTTGAAAAACTAATTCAAAATGGATCACAGACCTAAATGTAAAACGCAGAACTACAAAAGTCCTAGAAGATAATATAAGAGAAAAATCTAGATGACCTTGGGTTTGGCAATGACTTTTTAGAACAAGACCAAAGGCACTAGATGTGAAATAACTGATAAGCTCAACTTCATTAAAAGTAAGCATTTCTGTTTTGCAAAAGATACTGTCTTTTGTTTTTTGAGTTGGAATCTCACTGTCACCCAGGCTGGAGTGCGGTGGCATGCTCGCAGCCATCGCAGCCTCAATCTGCTAGACTCAGGCACTCCTTCCGCCTCAGTCTTCCAAGTAGCTGGAACTACATGCACCACCACGTCCTGCTAATTTTTTTATTTTTTGTAGAGATGAGGTCTTGCCAAGTTACCCAGGCTGGTCTTGAATCTTTGGGCTCAGGCAATCCTCCCACCTCCACCTCCCAAAGTGCTGGGATTACAGGTGTGAGTCACCATGCCGGGCAAGATTCTGTTAAGAGAATAAAAGACAAGCCCAAGCCACATACTGGAAGAAAGTATTAACCAAAGACATCCGATAAAGGACTGTTATCCAGGCCAGGGGCGGTGGTTCATGCCTATAATCCCAGCACTTTGGGAGGCCGAGGTGAGGGGATTGCCTGAGCCTACGGGTTCGAGACCACCCTGGGAAACTTGGTGAGACCTTATCTCTACAATAAATAAATAAATAGCCAGGTATGGTGGCATGTGCCTGTAATTCCAGCTACTTGGAAGGCTGAGGTGGAAGGATCGCTGGAGCCCAGCAGGTCGAGGCTGCAGTGGCCGTGAACATGCCACTGCACTCCAGCCTGGGCAACAGAGTGAGACTCCAACTCAAAAAAACAAAAACAAAACAAAACTTATTCAAAATAGACAACTCTTAAAATAGTAAGAGGACAACCCAATTACAAAATGGGTCAAAGACCTTAACAGACACCTCAACAAGGGAAGCAGATAAATGTATGAGAAGGTGCCCCACATCAGATATCATCAGGGAAGTGACAATAGACACTACTGGATACCTGTAAGAATGGCCAAAATTCAAAAAACAACACCAAATGCTGACGAGGATGTGAGCAACCAGAACTCTCATTCACTGCTGTTGGAAATAAAAGATATTACGTACAGCTATTTTGGAAAACAATGTGACAGTTTCTTTAAAAATAAAGCATAGCCCAGGTGTGGCTCACTCCTGTAATCCTAGCACTTTGGGAGGCTGAGGTAGGAGGATCGCTTGAAGCCAGGAGTTTGAGACCAGCCTGGGCAAAATAACGAGACCCTATCTGTAAAGAAAAAAAAGAAATAACATAATCTGCCATATGATTCAGCAATTACACACCTTAGTACTTACCCAAAGGAGTTGAAGACTTGTGTCCACGCAGATAGATGTTTGCAGCATATATAGGAAGATAGATATATAAAATATGTATATAATTGCCAAATCTTGGAAGCACCGAGATGGCCTTCAGTAGATTAATGGATAAATAAACTAGCTCATCCAGACAATGGGCTATTTTTCCATGCTAAAAAGAAATGAGCTAGCAAGCCAGGAAAAGTCACGGCGGAAACTTAATGCATACCACTAAGTGAAGGAAGCCAATCCGAGGAGGCTACCTACTGCAGGACTCCAACTGTATGACATTCTGGAAGAAGTAAAACTATGGCGACGGCAAAAAGATCAGTGGTTGGCGGGGCTGGAGCAAGGAAGGGATGAACAGGCATGAGCAAGTAGAGCATGGGGGATGTTTAGGCAGTGAAACTCTGTGTGATACTGTCATGATGGACATTCTACACTGGTCCAAACCCATAGAATGTGCAGCACCAGGAGGGAGCCCTCATGTCAACTCTGGACTCCGGGTGATCATGACGTGTCAGTGTAGGTTTGCCAAGTGTAACAAAGGCACCACCCTACGGGGGTGGACATTGGCGGGGAGACTGTGCGTGAAGGGGCAGGACAGAGGAGTGGGAAACCTTGCACCTTCCTCTGATCTTGCTGTGAACCTAAAACTGCTTTTAAAAAGTAAATGTAAGGCTGGGCTCGGTGGCTCAGCCTGTCATCCCAGCACTTTGGGAAGCTGAGGTGAGAGGATCGCCTGAACCCAGGGATTCAAGACCAGCCTGGGCAACTTGGCGAGACCTCGTCTCTACAATAAATTAAAAGTTTAGCCAGGCATGCCTGTGGTTCCAGCTACTTGGAGGGCTGAGGTGGAAGGATCGCCTGAGCCCAAAAGGTGGAGGCTGCGGTGGCCGTGAGCATGCCACTGCATTCCAGCCTGGGCGACAGAGTGAGACTCTGACAAAAAAAAAAAGGATATGTAAAAAAGTCGGCCTCCTTTCCCTCGTCCCTCCCTTGCTTCTTTCTGCACCCGCGCCTTCCATCCCTTTCCTCAATAACACCATCATGAACATCCTTGACACAAAACGTCTCCACTGTCCCCTTCCCCCACTACACCCTGTCCCCTGCCCAGTTCAGAATTACTTCCTTCATTTAGAAGAGTTCTCAGAGTTGGGCTAGCTGGGCAATTTCCTCTTGTACCCACCCCATGCCCCTTCCCTCTGTCCTGGCTCCTCCATCCCACCTTTCTCCAGCCTCTCTGCCCACTGTGCCTCATGAAGACCCAGACGCTGGCGAGGCCATGGCCGGTGAGCAAGACACAGGTTGCAGACTGGGCACCGGGCTGCCAGGCCCGTCTCTGCAGGGGACTGTGTAGTGGCTGAAGCCGCCATCTGGATGTCTCCGGGGCCAGGTGACCTCAGGGGTGGCTGAGCTTGCAGGCACCACCTCTAGGGTTTGCTCACGGTGGTCTTTCACTTTTCACAGCCTCTTCTGGCTACCAGAGTCACACGGGTTCACAGAAAGCATCAGTGGCAGCATCTGCTGACCTCCTCCCTCTGCTCTTGTCTCTCTCCCTCCCTGCCTCGGTTTCTCTCTGCCCCGGGACCTTTGCTTGGGCCCTTTCTTTCCTCAGGGAAGCCCTCAAGGCTGGACTAGAGCACCCCCGCTTTGACCACTCCCGTGCCCACCCAGGATCTCTTGTCCCCTCCCAGATGGTGATGGTGACACCTCCCAGATGATGACATGCCGGATGGTGACACCTCCCTCCCCCACACCCTTGCGTGGGGTTGCCTTGTGCTGCCCTGGGCCCTGCACCCAGCTTAGACTGTGCTCAGTGGGCCCTCAGTGAGATGACAGGGGTCAGCCACACGGGTGCCCAGTGGCATACGCCCTCTCTGTCCCAGAAGTCACATGCCCGGTCCCCTGTGAACTCCCTCCACAGGGCCCGGGACAGGCAGGGCATGGAGACGAAACCGGTTATTTCTCTGAGGGTGACACCAAGCCCTGTGAATGAGCCAGGAGGCAGGGACCTTGGCCCTCGAAGTCTCCCACCCTGCCACCTGCCTCTGTTCCCAGGTAGACAGTAACCTGCACAGGTGTGCTGTGGACACCCGGGCACCCATGAGCAGTCAGCCCTGGGAAAGATGGGACGTCACTACACCGGTGTGTGCATGTGTGTGCGCATGTGTGTGTCCCTGAGAGCGCATGCACAAGCATACGACCTTGGCTCCGGCTCCATAAATACCTGGGGTCCAGAGGGAGGGCCACCCAGAGGCAGACACGCACCATGGGGCGACTGGAGCTGGTTGTCTTGAGCCTCGCCTGCTGCTGGGCGGTGGCGAGCTCCGCCAAGGTAGGCAAGAGCAGAGGGGCCGGGGTCCACGCTCCTTTCCCAGACTGGATCTGTACACCGGGGGGGCTAGGGCCCAGAGGCGGGAAGACCGACAGTCACAGCAGAGAGAGCCCACCAGAGACAGAGAGCCCAGCAATGGTCCCACAGCGGTCCCTGGGATCTCACTTCACAGGTCCGCACTCCATCACGCGTTCACGTGGTAGCTCCGGCTGCTGGGCAACATACAGGGGGCCCAATTAAATTGGAACTTCAGATAAACCACGAGCAATTTCGGGTACGAGTCAGTCCCAGGTAATTTTTGGAACATACTTATGCTAAGCAGCGATTCATGGTTTATCTGAAATTTAGCTGTCACTGGGCCTCTTGAATTCTTGTTGGCGAAGTCTGGCGACCCTCCCCACAACATTCCTCAATGTTGTCCCCATCTCACAGAAGGGGAAACAGGTCCAGGGCAGACAGGCAGTTTGCCCAGCAACCACAGCCACCACCTTCTGGCCTGAAACCTGGGCTGCTCCATGTCAGGGGTCCAGCTTCGGCACACACTCCGTTTCTCGTTCCTCCCGAAAAGGATTTAGCCCTGTCTAGGGTGTGCCCAGCTCCTGCAAGAGGGAGAATCAGGAGGTTGCACGAGCTCCCCTGGGATATCTACAAAGTCTGCCCTTCAACTGTCCTCCCTGGGTGCCAGGAACAAGTCACAGGATCCCCCAAGAGCCACAGATAGACATACGGGTACCCGGTCCAGTTCCTGCCTCGGCAGGACTCGTGCAGGGGACCCCGGACCCCCACCACACTGTTGTCCCACCTGCTGCCTCAGGCCCTAGAGACCCCTCCAGCCAGCCTGTGCCCCATGCCCCCGCCCCTGGGACCCTTGAACCTAGTCCTGGGCTTCCTTAGCAGGGCGTTCACCCTCTTCTTGAGTTCCTTGTGGGGTGCTGAGAGGTCCCCCAGCAGCTCAATATCACCCCTCTGCACCCCACTCCAAGGCCCTCAGGCCAATTTCAGTCACAGGGAGATGCTTCTCAGAGATGACTTCCCCTCCCCAGGGACTGACTTGGCCCTCTGTCCCTGCCCCAAGGCATTAGGAATGGGGTTGGCTGGAACAAGAAGGTGTTACCCAAGACGCCTGCAGGTGTTGCTTTTGGCTTCTTCCTTTCTGGTTCCAACTCGCCTTTATACTAGCCATCAGCCTAGAATTCAAAGGGCTGCTGGGACCGACTGGGCCTGAGGGTGTGGGGCCGCCTGCCCTTCCCCACTTGGTACCCGGCACAGGGGAGAGCCAGGAAGCAGTGACCCTGCCCCTGCCTTTCCTCCTGTGCTTGTCCAGGACAGACGAGGTGGTCCTGGGACAGACTGCTGCTTCCCAGCAGGTTACGTCAGCCAGGAAGCCCTGAGCCTCAGTTTCCTCAGGGACAGAGGGCAAATGAGCCTCAACTCCCAGATCCCTCATGGGGATGGATGCCTTGGCTCGTGGCAGTGGTTCTCAGGGCCCAGGGCGGAGTAAGGAGATCCCCGGTGAAGTCTTTTCCAGGAGGGAGCACAGGGGCTGTGAGCACTTGGGCATCGGGTCACCAGCTCCGTGCCTAGCCTGCTAGGTACTTGTGGGGTGCTGAGAGGTCCCCCAGCAGCTCAATATCGCCCCTCTGCACCCCACTGCAAGAGGGAGAATCAGGAGGCTGCACGAGCTCCCCTGGGATATCTACAAAGTCTGCCCTTCAACTGTCCTCCCTGGGTGCCAGGAACAAGTCACAGGATCCCTGGGGGAGACAGGGGAGGAGAAAGAAAGAGGGACCCTCCCCTCGGGAAGGTATGAGACATGCAGTGTACACCGAGCAGCTACTACTACTGGCGGCTGGACAAACAGGTCACAAGGAGACACTATTTTCTCTCAGCTTATAGATGGGGAACCAGGCTCAAAGTCACAGCTAGACAGACAGCCATACCCAATACCAAGCCTCCACCCTGCCTCTCGGATGGCTCCCTTTAAGGCCTGAGAAGGCTGGTTGAACTGTTTCCTCTGAGGTCTGGGGAGCAGGACCGCCCCAGAAGCAGGATGGGAAGCAGTAAGCTGGCTCCCCAAGCCCACAGGCAAGTGGCAGGGCTTTGTTCCCCTTGGACGCTGTCTCTGGGGAGACTTGCGAAGTTCGCCCATCCAGATTTGGGCCCACCAGGCCTGGGCCTGCCTGACCCACCCATGTCTCCCTCCCAGCTGGGCGCCGTGTACACAGAAGGTGGTTTCGTGGAAGGCGTCAACAAGAAGCTTGGTCTCTTGGGTGACTCGGTGGACATCTTTAAGGGCATCCCCTTCGCTGCCCCCACCAAGGCCTTGGAGAACCCCCAGCGACACCCTGGCTGGCAAGGTGGGAGCAGATGGGCGCCGGGCAGCCCTGCGGCGGGGGTGGTGTGGGCGGCCGCAGTCCTCACGCCAGCCCCTCCCACCGCCTGCAGGGACCCTGAAGGCCAAGAGCTTCAAGAAGCGATGCCTGCAGGCCACCATCACCCAGGACAACACCTACGGGGATGAAGACTGCCTGTACCTCAACATCTGGGTCCCCCAGGGCAGGAAGCAAGGTCTGGCTCCCTTCCCCCACTCCCCAAGGGCGGCCTGCCTCAGGGGTGCGTGCCTGCAATCCCAGCACTTTGGGAGGCCAAGGCGGGAGGGTTGCTTGAGCTCCGGAGTTTGAGATGAGCCTGGACAACATGACCAGACCTGTCTCCACAAAAAATTTAAACAAGGAGCCACGTATGGTGGTGCATGTCTATAGTCTCAGCTACTTGGGAGGTGGAGGCAGGAGGATGACCCGAGGTCGAGGCTGCGGTGAGCTATGATTATGCCTCGGCACTCCAGCCTTGGTGACAGAGTGAGACCTCGACTCAGAAACACACAAACAAAACCCTAAGGGAAACTCCCAAGCAGTCAGCGCCCTGCCCTGCTCCTGGCTTGGGTCTGGGGGCCGCAGAGCTGAACTTCCCTGCAGTCCTGCAGAGGCAGGAGGGGTCTCCCATTGCAGGACCCCAGCCTGGGGCAGAGTGCCTTGGAGGTCCTCCCCCAGTGCCTGCTGCGTGGGGGTAGGGGACCGGCTGGGCAAAGGGTCCAGGGGGGCATCTGGGGTCACCAGCCTCTTCCCCATCCCAGTCTCCCGGGACCTGCCTGTCATGATCTGGATCTACGGAGGTGCCTTCCTCATGGGGGCCGGCCACGGGGCCAACTTCGGCAACAACTACCTGTATGACGGGCAGGAGATCGCCACGCGTGGCAACGTCATTGTGGTCACTTTCAACTACCGTGTCGGCCCCCTTGGCTTCCTGAGCACTGGGGACGCCAATCTGCCAGGTACGTGGATGCCTTCAGCCCTGGGGGTGGGACGGCGAGTGTGCTGAGCCCCCTCCGCCCACACCACTCCTGGGGGTCACTCAGAAAGGCCCGGAAGCTGGAGTCGAATGGTGAGATACGGGAGCCCCCTGGCAGCCCTAGCGAAACAGGAGGCTGAGGAGCAGACAGGCAGCAGGCAGACCGAGGTTCAGAGAGAGATCAGGGGAGAAGGGACAGGGAGGCTGAGTGGGAGACAGAAAGTGACACACTGAGGCAGAGATACCCAAGGACATGAGAGAGGGGGAGGAGGAGAGACGAACGTCCCGTCCCTGTCCCGAGCCCCACTCCCTGATACCTGCCCTTCCCAGCCTCCCGGGGACCCGCCATTTGCCATCCGGGGCTCGGGACCCCCTAGCCCTGACCCTAGCCCATCAGATGCCCCCAGCAGGCGTGAAGTGTGAGTGGGTGCTCTGGGTGGCGGGATGGGGTCTCGAGGTGGGGGGCACCTCCCAGGAGGATCTCAATACTGCTGAGGACGTTTCCATCCCTCTCATGTGGACTTGCACCCACAACATGCTGGGCCACGTCCCCCGCCAGCCCCGCGAAGGGCCCTGAATGATGGCCCCTGCCCCTGCCTCGCCCCCAGGTAACTATGGTCTTCGGGACCAACACATGGCCATCGCATGGGTGAAGAGGAACATCGTGGCCTTCGGCGGGGACCCCAACAACATCACCATCTTTGGGGAGTCAGCTGGAGCTGCCAGTGTCTCTCTGCAGGTCTGGGGACCCCTGGAGGGGAGGGCCTGTCCCAAGGGCTTGGGAGGGAGCTCAGGGGGACAGGAGGATGGAAAGAGGAGAGTGGGGTGGGAGCTGAGGCGTGGGGGTATCCTTGATGAAGCCCGGGGAGGGAGGCGTGGGGTACAGCCTTGGTGACAGGACTTCTGGGGGTTGCAGACCCTCTCCCCCTACAACAAGGGCCTCATCCGGCGAGCCATCAGCCAGAGTGGTGTGGCGCTGAGCCCCTGGGTCATCCAGAAGAACCCACTCTTCTGGGCCAAAAGGGTAAGTGGCCGGGGAAGGGGTAGGTGGGGGAGGGGTGGACAGGGGCGGGGCTCCGTTTAGACACCCAGTTGGGGGTCTGCCTCATTTCCATTCTCTATCCTGAACCCCATCCTTGCTCCCAAATGGCTCTGTGCCCCGAGCCTCGGCCTTACCTACCTACCTTTCCCTGCCTGCAGGTGGCCGAAAAGGTAGGCTGCCCCGTGGACGATACCGCCCGGATGGCCAAGTGTCTGAAGGTCACTGACCCCCGAGCCCTGACACTGGCCTATAAGATGCCCCTGGCAGGCATGGAGTGTAAGTGGGTGCTCTGGGTGGGGGATGGGGTCTCGAGGTGGGAGGACACCTCCCAGCAGGAAAGGGGAGTGCCCTGCAGAAGAGAAGAAGGTGCCAGGGCTGGGGCCTGGCCTGTCACCAACTAGCTGGTGTCCCTAGGCAGCTCGCTGCCACCCCAACCCCTGCAGGTCCCAGTTGTCCCAGCTGTAAGGGAAGGAAGGAGCCATTTTTCTTATCCTCCACGAGTCACAGACACTCCCCCAACCCCTTGCTTTTTTTTTAGTCGGAGTCTCGCTTCTGTCACCACGTCTGGAGTACAGTAGCATACAATCTCAGCTTCCCAAAGCCTCAACCTCCTGGACTCAGGTGATCCTCCTCCCTCAGCCTTCTGAGTAGTGGGGACTACAGGTGCGTGACATCACACCTGGCTACTGTTTTGTAGAGATGAGGTCCTGTTATGTTGCCCAGGCTGGTCTAGAACTCCTGACCACAAGTGCTCCTCCCATCTCGGCCTCCCAGAGTGCTAGGATTATAAGTGTGAGCCATCCTACCCAGCTAGACATCCCCCTTTAAGAAACTGATGACAGGCCAAGCGCAGTGGCTCACGCCTGTAATTCCAACACTTTGGGAGTCAGAGGTGAGAGGATTGCCTAAGCCAAGGGGTTTGAGACCAGCCCGGACAACTTGGTGACACCTCGCCTGTACAGTAAATAAAAAACTTAGCCAGGCGTGGTGGCACATGCCTGTGGTTCCAGCTACTCGAAAGACTGAGGTAGAAGGATCATCTGAGCCCAGCAGGTCGAGGCTGCGGTGGCCACAAGTGTACTCCAGGCTGGGCAACAGAGTGAGACTCCAACGCAAAAAAAAAAAAAAAAAAAAAAGAAACAGATGAGCATTTGGCTTCTTCCCCTCCCCACACAATGCAAACATATATAGTCATTTTCATGTAGTTTTAGGGAGAGTCACAGACCCCAGACCAAGAGGCTTTGTAGATAACTACTCATTCATTCATTCAGCACTTACTGAGTACCTACTGTAGCGTTTGGCCCTTGCTGCTCGATTATTCTGTACCCCGGGAAGGCCTGGGGACCCCTTCGGCAAATACCCAGAAATGTCAGCCTCGTCAGCTTGGGGGGCTGTGGCTATCTCTTGTGCGTTCTTCTAAGGTGAAGTACAACGAAGCTCTATTGTTTGTTTCTTTAGCTAATGTGAGTTAAACAGTAGGCTCCAGGCAAGACACCACCAAACAAACAAGATGGCCCCGAAGGAACCATAGCTGGAAGGAACATGGGCTGTCCTGGGTCTAATGACCGCCGGTGCCTACCTTGCCCCTACCAGCCGCGTGGTCCTCTGAGGGCCAGTCCAGGGGTTCTGTAGGGCAAGGCAGACCTTGCACAATTTTTGGCAAATAGACTAGAACCCAGCCCCGAGAGAGGGTGTCTCCTTCTCTATCGGGGCCCTCAGCTGAGGAGAGGGAGGGTCTGACACGGAAGCCCTAGACCAGTGGTTCTCAACCTGGGGACAGCCTGGGGTCATGGGGCAAAGTCTGGAGACATCTGTGACTGTCGCAGCCGGGGAGGGAAGTGCTACTGACTCCTGGTGGGTCGGGGCCAGGGATACTGCTAAATGCCCTACACCGCATGGGATGCTCCACGGCCCAGAACGATCCTGCCCCAGACGCTGCCCCCGGCACCAAGGCCGAGAAATCCTGTGTTAGATCAGAGAGGGGCAGAGATCTCAACTCCAGCCCCTAGGGGCAAGGTGAGCGTGAGAAGGTGCAAGAAAAACCTTTTGACTCTCCCACCCAGACCCCATGCTGCACTATCTGGGCTTTGTCCCTGTCATCGATGGAGACTTTATCCCCGATGACCCTGTCAACCTATATGCCAACGCCGCCGACATCGACTACATAGCAGGGACCAACAACATGGACGGACACATCTTTGCCACCATTGACATGCCGGCCATCAAAAAGGATAACAAGGAGGTCACAGAGTAAGTAAGCAGGGGCCACGGGACCCAGGGTGACACGGGCTGGAGGGCCCTTGGGAAGGAATTGCCTTGGGGAGGGGACAGCCCAGAGGCAGAAGGCGTTAGCTGGGTCATCGGGCATAAGACACACCAGTCGGGGTGGGTGTGCACTGGGAGAGTGTCATGTCTACTTGGTTCCCACAGTGAGGACTTCTACAAGCTGGTCAGCGGGCTCACCATCACCAAGGGGCTCAGAGGCGCCAAGTCCGCCTTTGATGTCTATACCGCGTCCTGGGCCCAAAACCCAACTCAAGAGACCAAGAAGAAGACCGTGGTGGACTTTGAGACCGACATCCTCTTCCTGGTGCCCACGGAGATCGCCCTGGCCCAGCACAGAGCCAATGCCAAGTGAGGATACGGGCAGGGGTGGCCCTCTGGGGGGCCCATGGAATGTGGCAACTTCCTGCTGAGGCCTCGCCGAGGGCAGCTCACAGGTGTCTGGGTTGCCTGGGAAAGCCGAACTTGAGTCCCCATCCATGCCTGCAGGATCCACTTTCCTGAGCTGGCTAGACTCTCGGGGGGCTCCTTTTACCTCCCAGCCTCAGGAGGTTTACAGAGCCCTCCCACAGCCCACTGCCCTGCCCAGCCCTATATCACACAGTCCTTCCCGTTGGAGAGCTCTTTTTGTTTGTTTTTTGAGTTGGAGTCTCACTCTGTCGCCCAGACTGGAGTGCGCCGTAGCTGCTCCCGGCCACCGCAGCCTCGGCCTGCTGGGCTCCGGCGATCCTTCCGCCTCAGCCTTCCGAGTAGCCAGAATTACAGGCATGCACCATCACACCCAACTGATTTTTTTATTTATTGTAGAGATGAGGTCTCGCTGCCCAGGCGGGTCTCGAACCCACAGGCTCAGGCAATTCACTCACCTCAGCCTCCCAAAGGTGCGGGATTACAGGCAGAGCCACCGAGCCCAGCTAAAAATTTTTTGTACAGACGAGGTTTCGCTATGTTGATCAGGCTGGTCTTGAACTCCTAGACTCAAGTGATGGGAGTGAGACTCCAACTCAAATAAATAAATAAACAAGCAAACACATAAATAAATAAATAATAAGCCATACATTTAGCTCTGAGCTTCCTGTCAGTCAAGGCAAAAACGGAAACAACTGAGGGTGTATACACCTTGTCCAATCAAATGAAGAATGCAAATTCACTTGGAGAGAAAAAGATCTTCCTTGACACTAAATTTGGGAGGAAGATCCTCAGAGTGTTTTACAGTGGTGAGGTAATAAATACAACCGAAATCGCAGCGCCCACAACTCCATGAGTTTGGTCCACAGCTTCCACTTCCCCGGTAAAGAATGGCAGTCTCTTTCAGTGAGTTCCACCGGCCCTTCCTTTTCCCAGGGCCCATCTCAGGGCTAGGCGTCCAAGGTGAGCACCCTGCCTACTCCCCCCCTCCAGGAGTGCCAAGACCTATACCTACCTGTTTGCCCACCCCTCTCGGATGCCCGTCTACCCCAAATGGGTGGGAGCCGACCACGCCGATGACATCCAGTACGTCTTTGGGAAGCCCTTCGCCACGCCCCTGGGCTACCGGCCCCAAGATAGGACCGTCTCCAAGGCCATGATCGCCTACTGGACCAACTTTGCCAGAACAGGGTAAGGTGTGGGGGGCACCCGGGGCCGAGAGCGTCCTGCCACCCGGCCCTGTTCCCTCCCTTGCCGGCTGGGGGACGGGCGTGTCGCTTAACCTCCCAAGCCTCGGCATCCCCGTAGTATGTGAGGATAAGAGCTCACATCGCCCACGTGCGTGCTCAGTCTGTGCCCAGGGCCAGCTGGGAGGGCAGGGGACTGCTCAGGCATGGAGGCAGAGCTGGGCATGGATCTCCAGCCCCCTGAGAGTCCCCAGCCTCCGCTCAGCCCCTTCTCACTCTGCAGGGACCCCAACATGGGCCACTCTGCCGTGCCCACGCACTGGGAACCCTACACCACGGAGAACGGCAACTACCTGGAGATCACCAAGAAGATCAACGGCAGCTCCATGAAGCAGCAGCTGCGGACCCACTACTTGCGCTACTGGACACTCACCTACCAGGCGCTGCCCACCGTGACCGGCGATGGGGCCACCCCTGAACCCCCCATGGGAGATTCTGAGGCCGCCCCCGTGCCTCCCACTGGGGACTCCGAGGCTGCCCCTGTCCCCCCCACGGGAGACTCTGAGGCCGACCCCGTGCCCCCCACAGATGACTCCGAGGGGGCTCAGATGCCCACAGTCATTGGCTTCTAGTCCCCATGAGCCTCGGTCCCAAGAGGCCACAAGGGTGGGACCCCAGGGCCCTCTTCCCCTCCTGGGCTCTTCCTGAATAAAACTTCATCTTTCTGTCTGGCGTCTTCCTCTGCTCTTGAGACCCAGCCAGAGGAAGCCGGGGCCCTCAGTCACCCTGCCATCCCCAAGCACTGGCGAGACCTCAACTCTGCAATGAACCAAAAAGTAAACCAAAAAAGCACTGGGCACGACACGTCACCGCATCGTCTCCGTCTGTCCCCAGGCTCTGGGATGTTGACCGTACTAGCCTCATTTTTAAATTTAATTTTATTTTATGTATTTTTTTTTAACCAGTGAACCAAGACACATTTTATTTTATTTCTTTATTTTTTTGAGTTGGAGTCTCACTCTGTCGCCCAGACTGGAGTGTAGAGGCTGCGCCTGGCCACCGCAGCCTCCACCTGCTGGGCTCCGGTGATCCTTCTGCCTCAGTCTTTCAAATAGCTGGAACTAACAGGCGTGCGCTACCACACCCGGCTGATTTTTTTGATTTATTGTAGAGATGCGGTCTCACCAAGTTGCCCAGGCGGATCTTGAACCCGCAGGCTCAGGCAATCTACTCACCTCAGCCTCCCAAAGCGCGGAATTACAGGCTGAGCCACCAAGTCCCCGGCTCAAGACACATTTTAATTCGTTGATTTGAGAGAGAAAGATGTCATGTGTTACTTCTCTAGCCTCAAAAAATTCCCCCAGATTTTTTAATTTTAATTTTTGAATTAGAGTTTCACTCTGTTGCCCAGGCTAGAGTGCAGTGGCACCCTCATGGCCACACCAGCCTCGACCCGCTGGATCCAGGCGATCCTTCTGCCTCAGCCTTCCAAGTAGCTGAAATTACAGACACATGCCACCACACTCGACTAATTTTTTGATTTATTGTAGAGATGAGGTCTCACCAAGCTGCCCAGACTAGTCTCGAACCTGTGGGTTCAGGCAATCCTCTCACCTCAGCCTCCAAAGTGTGGGATTATAGGCATGAGCCACTGTGCCTGCCCTAGTTAGGCTCATTTTAAAGAGGAGGAAGTGGGTGCAGAGGTGTTCAGTGGCAGACCCAGGTACCCAGCTCTCCAAAGCCACCCCTCCCTGCGCCAGGCTGCTGGTTCCTGGGGGTAAGGAGACCTAGGCTTTGCCCTACACAGTGGGCAGGGTGAGTAGTAGCAGCAGTCGGAGAGGGTCTTGGGCTTTGCCCATCCCACCTCTGCAAGATCCGAGCCTGGTCACTAAGCTAAGCACTTGACCAGCCTTGCCTCACTGTGGCTTTGTGAGATGGGAGCTGTGCTACTCCCATGTTTGACTTCTACAGATTTTTCTTTTTTTTGAGTCGGAGTCTCACTCTGTCACCCAGGCTGGAGTGCAGTGGCACGCTCACGGCCACCACAGCCTCGACCTGCTGAGCTCAGGTGATCCTTCAGCCTCAGCCTTGCCGGTAGCTGGGACTACAGTGGCACGCCACCACACCCAGCTACTTTTTAAAATTTATTTTAGAGGCAGGGTGAAGTGGCTCACGCCTATAATCCAAGCACTTTGGGAGGCCGAGGTGAGAGGGTTGCCTGGCCCAGGGGTTCAAGACCAGCCAGGGCAACTAGGCAAGACCTCGTCTCTACAATAAATTAAGAAAAATTAGTTGGGCGTGGTGGCACACACCTGTACTTCCGGCTACTTGGAAGGCTGAGGCAGAAGGATTGCCTCAGCTCAGCAGGTTGAGGCTGTGGTGACTGGGAGTGTGGCACTGCTCTCCAGCCTGGGCGACAGAGTGTGACTCTGACTCAAAAAAAAAAAAAAAATTATTGTAGAGGCAAGTTCTTGTCAAGTTGCCCAAGCTGGTCTCTCAAACCCCTGGACTCAGGCAATCCTCTTGCCTCCACCTCCCAAAGTGCTGGCATTACAGGAGTGAGCCATCACACCTGGTCAGATTTCTCTTTTCTTTTCTTTTTCGTTTTTTTTTTAATCGAGTTCTTATTCTGTTGCCCAGGCTGGAGTGCAGTAGCACCATCATGGCTCACAGCAGCCTCAACCTCCTGGGCTCAAGTGATCCTTCCATCTCAGCCTCCTGAGTAACTGGGACTACAGATGTACACCACCTTGTCTGGCCAAATTTTTAAAAGTTTTTTAGGGCTGGGTGTGATGTCTCACGCCTATAATTCTAGCACTTTAGAAGGCCACAGGTTAGAGACCAGCCTGGGCAACTTGACGAGACCTCATCTCTACAATAAATAAATCAATCAATAAATAAATAAATAAAAATAAGCCTGGTGTGGTGGCGTGCGGCTGTAGTTCCAGCTACTTAGAGGCTGAGGCAGAAGGATCAACTGAGCCCAACAGGTCGAGGCTGTGGTGGCCACGAGCGTGCCACTGCACTCCAGGCTGGAAGACAGAGTGAGACTCCAATTCAAAAAAAAAAAAAAAGTTTCCTGGTAGATACAGTGTCTTGCTATTTGCCCTGGCTGGTCTCGAACTCCTGGGCTCATGCAATCCTCTCGCCTTGACCTCGCCTTGACCTGGGATTGTAGGTGTGAGCCACAGTCTCTGGCCCCCTTTACAGATATTTAGAGGGAAATGGGGCCTTGAGAGGAGGCCACGTGCTGAAGGCCACTCAGAGCAAGAATTCAATGAGACTCCAGAGCCAGTGCTGGGATCAGTGCCAGGGTTTTCGTCCCCATCCCCCATCTACCTTCTAAACAGCCACGGTGGAGTGGGATGGGACTCAGAAACAAGAGAGAAGATTCTTTTTTATTTTTTTGAGTTGGAGTCTCACTCTGTCACCCAGACTGGAGTGCAGTGACATGATCATGGCTCACCATGCCTGGACTTCCTGGGCTCAGATGATCCTTATGCCTCAACTTACTGAGTAGCTGGGACTACAGGTGATCGCACCATGCCCGGCTAATTTTTTTTTTTTTTTTTTTTTGTAGAGATGAGGGCTTTCTATGTTGCCTAGGCTGATCTCAAACTCCTGGCCTCAAGAGATCTTCCGACCTCAGCCTCCCAAAATGCTGGGATAGCAGGCATAAGCTGGGTGGATAGCACCCTGGCTGGGTGGATGGATTAATGGGTTATACTGGGAGGGGAGCTGGTGGCTTTATAAAAGAAAGAGAGACCTGAGATAGCACATTGGCACACCTAGCTCCCTTGCCATGAGATGCTCTGTGCTACCGTGGAGAGACCCTTCCAGCAAGTCCCTTCCAGCAGAGTCCCTTCCAGCAAGAAAGCCCTCACCAGATGTGACCCCTCAACCTTGGACCCACCAGTCTCCATAACTGTAAGAAATAAGTTCCTTTTCTTTATAAATCACCCAATTTCAGATATTCTGTTTCAAGCAATGAAAAACAGACTAAAATAGCTTTCCCGGCTGAGGTGAGTGCTGTCCTGAGTCTGGGTGGCACCAGCGGCTGTTGGGAAGGCGGGACAACTCAGAATCGCCCTGCAGTCTATCTGGCTTTTGACTTTACAGACTGCAGCCAGAGGATGAAGTTGAAAGAACGTGCAAGGGAAAGGCTGGAGGTGGTCCAGGTCCTGCCGGCTCCCTGCTGATTAGGTGCTAATACTGTAGCTCCCAGTTGCAGGAAGCCCAGGAGGGCCCTCGGGTGAGTTCAGGACTGTGCATGTTCGCCACCCGGATGGTATGTGTTTCAGCATTTCATTGGTAAGGTCTTGGTGGCATCCCTCCTCTTCCCCCACGCTGCATCTTTTTTTTTTTTGAGTTGGAGTCTCACTCTGTCACCCAGACTGGAGTGCAATGGCCG